TCCAATAAAACACATCCATATTAGCCTTTACATAAAAAGCTCACGTAAGTGTTCGTGGGTGTAGCATTACTCTTTATTTTTTGAGGGGAAACGATGGAAATCAGGCTGCTGATCCGATTCGTTTTGATGGGATGGACCACGTGAAGGGCAAGCAGAGGAGACGGGAAACTTGCCGAAACACCATCTTGACGATCGACTCGTCTTTTCCATCTAGTCCTCCTTGGTGCTTCCATGAAGAGGCGGCATGATCTTCCACGATGAGGTACGGCATGGTGGTAAGCCCAGTGTGCACTACCTCCCCCACCATTCCCCACACCCCTATCTCTATGGCCCGCCTCTGGATGACGCCCACGATGTCCTGCCTGACATTGTACCTCATGGTGCTGATGAGCTCCTCCGTCGTCGGGCCCAGGTCGGCTGTGGCGATTTGGAAGCCGGTGGCAGTGGCGGTGCTTTTCTCGACCCGCACTATGCTCGGGCCGCCGAACAGGTTGTGCTTGTTAGAAAGGGCTTCCTGGTATGCGCCGGAAAGCAGCACGGCGAGGTAGTAGCAGCCACCGCGCTCAGGGTCAGGGTCTAGCGGCAGCGGGTGAAGCGGGAGCGTCTCGGCGTTTCCTATGAACTTGTCGATCTTGCCGTCGCTGTCGCAGGTTAGGTCGATGAGTGTGCTCATTCGGGTAGGCTCCTCATTGAGCCGGCTCACAGGCATCATCGGGAAGCGCCATTTGATGCCCCACATGTCAGGAAGCAGCGAGAAGACGGAGAGGTTCATGTGGTAGTTGTAGATGGTGTTGGCATCCCCGGCGATCCTTTTGGAGAGCTTCTTGGCCAGCTTGTACGCCTCGATCCCGTGCTTCTGGAGGTCCATGACTGCTGTCGACGTCGGCAAATTGGAAGCAGAGTAGTGATGCTGGATCTTGGTGCGCAGCTGCTCCGGGGTGTCCTCGTCGTCGTCGTCCTTGGGCTCGGGGATCGCTGAGAGCGATTCGAGGATGATCATGGAGTGGTGCGACACCATGGCCTGGCCGCTCTCGGTGCACAGCACAGGGTGCGAGACCATGGCCTTGTCGCACGTGGTCCGCACTGCCTGCACAATGCTGGACGCGTACTCCTCCAGCCCGTACGCCACGGAAATGTCGGAGTCGGCTGACCGGGTGCCGTCGTAGTCGATGCCGAGCCCCCCGCCGCAGTCTAGAGTGGTCATCTCCGCCGCGTCATACTTGTTCACCAGGGTGCAGTAGATGTCGGCGGCCTCCATGGCCGCTTTGGCCACTAGCTCCGTGGTCGGGATCATGGAGCCCACGTGGAAGTGCAGCAGCTTGAGCCAGTGCAGCTTGTTGAGACCCTTGAGCTTCTTGGCCACCTCGTAGATCCTGTCCGCAGGCAGGCCGAACTTGCCGTGCTTGCCGGCCGTGGACCCGTAGTGGCCTGGTATCTTGGTGAGCAGCTTGGCGCGCACGCCGATGACCGGCTCCACCCCGAGCTTGCTGCTCTGGTGGATGATGATGTCCAGCTCCTCCTCCATGTCCAGCACCATGATAGCATTCAGGCCTATGGCACGCGCCGACAGCGCCAGCCTCACGTACTCGGCGTCCTTGTACCCATTGCAAACCAGGAAAGCTCTGGAATTAGCCTCCTTTGTGAGGCAGCTCATTGCGATGAGCAACTCCGGCTTGGAGCCTGCCTCCAGCCCGTAGCTGTAAGCATGGCCGAAGCAAACCAAGTCGTGGACGATGGCCCTGTTTTGGTTCACCTTCACCGGGAACACGCCCTGGTATGTATTGGTGTACCCGGTGCGGCTGATGGCCGTGTGGAATGCGGCGTGGAGAGCGTCGAGGCGGTGCTTGAGCACGTTGGGGAACCGGAGGATCATCGGAAACTGGATGTCCTTCCTCTTCTGTTTTGCAGCTTGAATGACGTGCAGCACGTCCATCTCCTGCCCTGCCTTGGTCTCGTGCCCATCCGCCTTCACACACAGGTTGCCTTCCGTGTTCACTGTGAAGTAGGGTGCGCCCCACCCCTGGATGTTGTACAATCCACCATAGTTAACCTTGTTGCTACCCACGCCCATAATGGATCCATCCATGTATTCTGTCTGTCTGCTCAAATAAATCAACCAAGCCATAATAAGATAGAAAGAATTTCGCGTTTCTGGAGTAACCCACCATATGTAGTACGAAATGAGAAAATAGAACCTTACTCCCGAAGCTAGTAGAGGAGGAGACTTGGGTGCAATTTGATTGTGTGTGGATCGTTCCTTCAGCCGTTATATATAGAGAGAAAGAAGAAAGAGGAGGAGGAGGAGGAGGATGTGCAGAGAACGAAATGACATGTTTGCCCTCCATATTATAACTGTACGTACTATACAACGAAATGGACAACTTATTAGTAACCAACCGCGTGGTCCCTAGAGCTATCAGACCAACTACCATGTTCTCCGGACTTGATAGCCAAACAAAAGCTGGTACCTTGAAAATAAGTGAATTATGTGGTAGCGTAATGACTTCCGCATTTACTTTTTCAGCCTTTTTTTACCACCACCTTACTGTCTATGCGCAAAGACTGCATTTACACTTACTCTTGAAATTGTTACAAACAGGATATAATGACGGATTTTACAGCAGAGTCTTATTATATTATTATTTTCCGAAACGTGAGTCTTAGTATATCACTGCTTTGCAGGGCCGGCCCTGAGATTTTGGGGGCCCGGGGCGAGTCTAAAACCCGGGGCCCTTAATGTAGTCGTCATAACAATAAAAATTAATATACATATATATGAAATATTACTAATAACACTTAAATGTGTCCAAATCGAATATATATATCAAATAATTTTCTACATATTACCCAAAAAAATCCCAATCTGTCAGGTGCTAAGGATCTTTGATTTTTGCTAATGGCACAATTGAAGATCTTACAGTAGAAGCAAAAAAGACTTTGACGGCACCTTTTGAATAAACTCCTGCTAATGCTAGACTTGAAGATCTTACGTCAGAAGCAAAAAACTTTACCGACATCTTTTGAATAAATGAGTCATTTTGTATTATGTTCCTCCCCATTGCTTAATATTCTATGATAATGGCCATGTGAAAAACATCTTCCTGCGTCGTCTACATGGTATGCCATTTTTTGTCCTCTCTCATAGATCCGTTCTCCACTAAGATGCCTCTTGCTTTATTATCTAGATTATCCCAAAAAAATCATAAATATCATCAGTATAAACTGGTTGTCCAGCATCATCACTACTGGGACTGTGCATGTGCATCTGATGAATTTCCAACATGCTTAGAGCCACTTATGTTGTTATCATTGATGTTGGTGTCCACATTTTCTTCTGGCTGATCAAATTCTGAATTGCCATTATAGTTGGTTGCCCTTCCTTTATGACAACTATTGCCAACTCTCTTTGAAACAATTATGAATAATTCCGCACTGTGATTGTACTAAATCATCCACAGCTTTCTTCCTTGTCCTTTCATTGCTACCAGATGGATACTTGACAACACACAATGCTGAAAATAAATAAAATTGCATCATTTGACAATTGTTGAACAGTACCGATGTGCCGGATATTCATCTAGGAGACTAGGAACCTCAATACGAATAGAAGATATACCTCAGATGGTCTAATAATTCCATGCATGATATAATATAAAAACTGGTAGCTGGAGAAAAACACCTTCCACAGTAATTATCTATACCTACTAATAAAAGAAATAGGTATTCTTAGTCCGTCATACTAATTTGCAGAACACTCTCTCACGTTTTTGTTAATCAACCCGCAGTCCACTTTTAAATCAGTTTTTTGTTTTTTGAGAAAACCCCATGATATTTCTGAAAATCAACCCGCAGGCCAGGTCTAAGTCAAATTTTCGTTTTTGCAGGAAACCCCCTGGTATTTGGGTTAATCAACCCGCAGTACATATCAAATGCTTTTAAAAAACATCCATATCCATATCTTTTAAATTCCAACTCTAAATTTAACATGTTATATATGAAATTTAATTAGAAGAATATGTAGAATCTGAATATGATGTTATTTTACCCGTTAACCATTTTAAAAATGCTATTTAGGGTGCAACCTTAATCAATAGCGCATGATCCATCTTTTCTTGTGACTATTATGATCCATCTTTTTTCATACTAGTGCTGATCCGAATTGAAAATGGATACCCAACAAAACCGGCATGGTAGATGAAAACACTAAATGATGCATGCACGCCTGCTCAAAATCTAAAAAAAACATGTTTATCATGCCGAGGGAGACGTCTTAGAATTGACAACATTCAAACGTGTTGTGATTGTTTGAACATCGTGGTCATCATCAATGAGAGTGGAAAGAGGATAAGTGGCAATACATATGGGATGCCATTTGTTGAGATAGAGTCCGAAGTCATGGTTATCGGGTTAGGGGATTGTGGTTTTTTTTCTAACCGTTGCAACACATGGGCCCTTTTGCTAGTTGTTAACTTACAGCAGTACAAGTCTACGGTCCCCCGCCCCAAAGGAAAAATAAAAAAGGATAATCCGAGTTATATCGAACAATATCTATTTAATAAAGTAATGTGTGTTTCTCCGAGTTTTTACATTTGTTCACCGCCAAGATTTTTTTTCTATCCGAGGCGGCACTAAATTTTTATTCGTCCATCTGCTATAAAAGAGAAAAAAAATGCTTTATCCAGAAATTCGTGAGTGAGGCGCGCTCTGTGGCCCAGCAAAGTGAGCCCACATATTTTCTGCCTGGGCGAGAAATAGTTGGGGCGACGCACACAGCGCCAAAGACTGGGCCAGCCTGTTTTTTTCTCCTGTGTTCTATCTTCTGTAAATTCATTTTTTGCTATTTTCAGAAAATGTTTAGAAATCCAAAATTTTGCTATTGTTTTAAAAAATTAGCAAATTTTAAATTTTGTTTCTCGTTCCAATTTTCTTTAGAATTGAAGAAAATGTCGATTTATTCAAGAAATGTTCATGTTTCCAAAATTATTTGAGATTTTCAGAAAGACTTGCATTTTAGAAAATGAGCCAAATCCAAAAAATATTATTGTTTTAGTGAAATGTTCACAAATTGAAGGCAAAAAAATTTAGTTGTCCCACATTGTTCCTCACATACAGTCGTGTGTGGGGGGTGGGTGTGTGTGCGGGTGTGTGTGTGTGTTCAACAAGTATTTTTAAAATGTTGATCAAGTATTTGAAAAAATATTGATCATGTATATAAGAATGTACGATTAAAAACAAAAAGAAATGAAGAAAACAAAAAATGAAAACCGAAAAATAAACAAAATAAACCAGAGGAAAAAAGAAAATTGAAAAAACTGAAGAAACAAATGAAAAAAAAATAAGTAGGGCGCCCCTAGACGCAGAGTTTCTGCACCCGAGCTCAAATCGGCTCGGGTTGAATAGTAAAATAAAAAAAATCCAATTTTTTCTGGAAGAAACATGGACAAAAGTTTTAAGTGCTTGCAAAAATTCGTCATGAATTCACATTTCTAGAAGGCGTGGCAAAAAAAACGGTACTCTGAAAATGCTACTTTCAAAAGCATTTTGGACCACTAAATTTGTTTTTTTTTTTGCCATGCCTTACAGGAATGTGATTTCATGATGAATTTTTGCAAGCACATAGAACTTTTGTCAATATGCGAGGCTTTTCTTTTCTCTTTTGATTTTTCCTTTTCCTTTTTCTTTTTTCAAAATATGTGAACTTTTCCAGCAGAATTGAAGAACTTTTTTTTCTGAATCCGGTGACCTTTTTGCGATATTCATAAACTTTTTTCGAATTCGTGAACTCTTTTTGAAAATCCGTGAACACTTTTGAAATAAATGAACTTTTTTGAACATTTTTATTGAAAATAGATGGACCTTTTTTAAATACGTGAACTTGTTTTCAAAATCTGGTGAACTTTTTTCAATTGCATGCATATTTTTTTATCAAAACTGATTAACTTTTTTGAAATCGATGAACTTTTTGTCAAAATCCGATGAATTTTTTTCAAATGCATGAACATTGTAGTTTTGCCAAATCAATGAACTTTTTTCAAAATCTGGTGAACATTTTTCAAATTCGAGATTTTTTATATAGAAGTCAATGAACTTTTTCCAAATCCGGTGAACTTTTTTTGAATCCGCGAGCGTTTTTCAAAATTGATGATTTTTTATTATTTTTGTGAACATTTCTTTGAATATCCGTGAACATTTCTTTGAATACCCCTGAACTCCTTTTCAAAATCGTTGAACTTTTTAAAAAATCGCAAATTTCTGTTTCCTTTTTCCAAATATTTGTACTGGGACTAAAACATGGGTCAAGTAGTACATGTTTTCCAATAAAGCACAACTAAGTGACGGGGTGCAGTGGTTCTCGAGCGAAGTCCATTGACAATAGCATGTCGGTTCGAATCCCATGTACAGAAGAATTTTTTCCTTGCCATTTGTTTTTTGAGGATACTCGAGCGAAGCTGGGCCGGCCCACTATAGCGTGTCTTCGAGTGCCAGCTAGGCAAACGGGCGCTGAGGGCGCCGAAGAGGGGCACTAGGTTAGGGGAACTCCTATGGGCCGCATTCTGCGGCAGAATGTTGAACTATCGCATAGGAGTTCCCACAACTGGGCCGGCCCACAAGGCAACGAGCGGAATTTGAAAGAACAACAATAGCGCTTCAGCTACGATTCGAACCAGCGATTGCAAGCCTGCAGACAGGGGTTGCTAGCCACTGCGCCCGATTCATTTTGATGGTCAAAAGGCAACGCGAACACTTTAGACCTAATTACACCGGCAGATCGGATTATTTTTCTTTTTTGCCGATCTTTTATTGTCAATTATGATTATATTTTTTACAAGTAGGAATGATTTTTTACGAGTATTTAACCAAAAACTACCACAATTCACGGAAACGTGACAGAAAACTACCACTTTACGATTTTGTCCCGAAAACTACCACTTTTTTATTAATCCGTGGCAAAAAACTACCAAGTGTGAAAACTGCTCGCTTTGCCTGGGTTAAACCCGAATCTGACTGCCCGACCCCACACATAAGCGGGCTAAAAATGCAATCGGGTCCCTAGTTTTTCTTAAAAAAAGCAATCCAGTCCCTGCGGGCCGACCGCTCCAGGCCCTCGCCGCCGCGCCGCTCTCC